GGAAGAGGGAGTCCAACTCCACACTTGCCTTTCCTCCTCCCCTTTCCTTTCCCTCCCCATAGGCCAGCCCTATAGAGGGTGCACCAGCTCCTTGTGGGCTGGTGTGTTCCCTCACATAGCCCATAAGGCCCATATCTTTCTTGGGGGTGCCCGAAACTCCTTCCGGTGACCCGATAAATACCCGGTACCCTCCAAAACACTTCCGGTGTCCGAATACCATCGTCCTATATATCAATCTTTACCTCTTGACCATTTCTAGACTCCTCATCATGTCTGAGATCTCGCCTGGGACTCCGAACAACATTCGGTTACCAAATCATATAACTCATATAATACTATATCGACAACGAACGTTAAGCGTGCGGACCCTATGGGTTAGAGAACTATGTAGACATGACCGACACACCTCTCCGATCAATAACCAATAGCGGGACCTGGATGCCCGTATTGACTCCTACATATTCTATGAAGATCTTTATCGGTCGAACCGTTATGACAACATATGTAATTCCCTTGGTTTTGCTGCAACCGTGGATCTCATCGGGGTGATGGGGATGCTGCAATGAAGCGCTTGCCTATGGTTTTGTAACTATAGATATCGTCGACAGATGGAGATGCTACAATGCATCACTTGTCCGTGCCTCCCATGGTGATGCAACTCTGGATCTCGCCGGCGGCGAGGATGCTGGAATGCAACGCTTGCTCAACTTCAGTGTCTCATCGGTGCTGCATGGAGGTGGTCGTGGCAGCTGACGGTGTTGCAAGACAGGTTGTGTCGTCGCCGTGTTGCAAGGGCGTAACTGGATACACAAGCAAAAGCGAAGGTGTTGCGTGTCACCATCGTCGGGTGTTGCGGGAGAGGGTGGGAGATGACCAGTTGTCGCGACGGGCCGTGCAGGGCTTGAGGCGCCGTAGAGACGACGGATCAACTTACTATATTTGGATGGTGTGATTAATGTACACGTGGCAGATCCAATGGCAGGTCAGCCAATCGATTTTCCTCAAAATCAGTGGGCTAACTCCGAGCAGCCAACGTATTTTTCCTCCTGCCGACCAAACGGCCCTGTCCACCCCTCCGGCCCACATAAACCCCGACGCACCGGATGACGTCGCCCTGTTGCTATCAATCCCACACCACACCACACCATAGCTGTCGTCCGATGTCGATCGCACGACGAGCATCTCCTAGCGTTATTAGAGCATCTCCGGCCGAGCCCCCAGGAACGCCCCCCAGGCCACTTTTTTGACACCGACGCATAAAAAACGTCCCAGCCACACCCTCAACATCCCATTTTCGCCGGATTTGATGAAAAACACAGTCGGCGCTCTCACCCCAAACCCAGCCCCCCGGGGGGCAGCCGGGAATGCCGGCGCTGCTTTTTTGTCTCTTGTGCCCCACCTGCAGCCACATCTCTCTCTGTCTCCCCGTCGCTTTCTCCGCCCCCACCTCCCCTTTCCCCGTCCGCTTTTCTCTCACCCCGGCCAAGGCTTCACGCCTTGCCTCGCTCCGGCCCGCAGCGTCGCCTCCGTGCCCGGCCGCACCTCCGGCATGTCCGGTCGCCTCGCCCGGTCGCCTGCCCGCGTCGGGTCGCCTCGCCTCTGCGGATCTTGCGCTCCACCACTACCAGTCTCTCTGCTCCGGCTATGCTCCCCCGCTCCGACACCTCCGTGTAGTGGAACTACACCTGGTACCCGTCCACGGTGGACGGGGACGCGGAGGAGAGCGTGGACAAGATGTGGCGGCACATGCTGGCCAGGCTTCGGGCCGCCAAGATCCCCACGAAGGCGCTGGACGTGGTCGAGCGGGGCGAGATGAGCGAGGTGGTGTCGTCGCCGCTGCGGTTCCGGTCCCCGCTGGCGCTGGTCCGGGGCAGCATCTCCAGGCGCGGCGTGTGCGTGGCCGGTGACCACCCGATGACCCCGGAGCTCGCCGAGGCGGCCCTGGAGAAGTACGCCGGGGAGCGGAGGTGGTGCGCCGTCCGGCTGATCACTGCCGCATACGTTGTCGGCTTCGTGCAGCAGAGCAGCAACCCGACACCTCCTCCTGCCCTCCCGAGCTCGCGTGTCGGTGTCGTTGTTGCTGTTGCGGCGGAGCGGCCCGACCAGACTGCTGCTCGGCGGAGGGTCGGGCCTGTGCTAGAGCGAGGCTGCTGCTCGCCGAGGGAGCGCGCCGCGCGGAGTCCCACGCTGCTGCGAGGGCAGGGAGGGGGGCGGGGAGGGGAGAGAGGAGAGGACGCGGCTGGGCGCGCCGCGGTGTCGAGGCGGGCGGAGAGGTGGTGGTGGCGCGGGGAGGCGGGAGAGAGCGAGAGCGAGCGAACGGCGGCTTGATGAGGTGTCGCGATGCATGCGAGCAGGCAGGAGGTGTGGCGCGGCCTAGGCACGACTTGGGGGTGGACACGGCTGGAGAGTTTTTCACCACAAGGCCAAAATTTTCGCCGACATCCCCCAAGCGACGAAAAAATGCTTCCTGAAAGGCTCAACGGCTGAAGATGCTCTTAAGAACAAAGGAGCGTTAAGCAAAGGGGGCGGCCGGCGGCTAGCGCAAAGCCCCGCTCGCAACGAAGCCGCCTTCTGCTGCGTTGCACGGACGCCCGCGCGACACACGCCGGCTCCAGCAAATGAGGCTGTAACACGTCGACGCGACGGCCCACCCACACGCATGTGGACCCGCCGTACGGCGTGGGGGGTGCTGACTAGGACATTCACCCGTGCAGCAGCTCGCACGCGCAGGTTGCTACGCGCACATCCAACGGCAGCAAATGTTTCCTTCACTTCACCATGTTTTTTTCTTCTTTTTTTTCCCTTTTTTATGCAGGTGTTCACTTCACCACTGCTAACCAAAAAGAATTGAGATTTTTCCCTCAAAAAAAAAAGAATTGAGATTTTCGAAACTGAGGGCAAATGTTCGAAGGTCTTTCTGAGAAAAATATACTCCTAAACAGCTACCGCTTGCAAAAAAAAACAGCTATTGTTTGTAAACTCTTACGCTTTTGGTGCAGAATATAGCTGTGGTCATATACTAGAAACAAAAGCAGCTTTATGTGAGGGACTTGTTTTTGTGTCTCCACCGGCATTGGGGTGAGAGGCTGACATCCAAAGCCGGCGTATCATCAGTTCTAAAATAAAATCCGCGCCCAAGTTCCTTTCAATACAACTGTAACATTTGAATCAAGCCTTTTCTCTTACTAAAGACAAGCATTTTCTCCTACTCTTGCGTTTTTACTCTTGCGTTTTTAGAATCCTACTTTCATGGCACACTCGTACTTCACAGGACATACCAAGAGGATAATTACGGACATTTCATGATATTCAAAGTTCACAAGACATGACTAGGAGGAGCAAGGGCAGAGAATTCCAGACCAAATCATGTCACGTTTGACGATGCCCCATGCCCGATACATCAAATTTCCGCTCGATTTTGCACCGTTCCTGGTTTTGACTCGGCGAAGATGGGCAGGAACCAACCAAATCCCAAAACGCAGAGCATCTTTCTGCCCAATCCACGTCCTGATCAATCAACGTCGACATCCACCCCACTGAAAGAGGGCTTTCGTTGCTGCTTTCATATACGTATATAAAAAACCAAAGGAAAAAGTCCCTGCTGCCTCCCAATGTTCGGTCCAACTCGCACAAACACATTGCAATTTGCAACGCCCACTGCCACAATGTGTCCGTATTCTCTGAAGACAGCGAGACCAAAGACGGGCGATTCTCGCGGCAGCAAAGGCCGATGCAAAGCTGCAGCACTACGGAGACGGCAAGATGCTCGTGCGATTACTACTCGGTTCCAACTCAAGAAAAATGCGGCATCTCCCCTCTTGGGCGCAAACAATTCTCCTTCTCCTTCTCGTTCCGCGTCGGCCTCAGCAATAATATACGGCTGCTCTGCTCGGTCGACCGGCGGATCGCCGTCGTATCAGAAGCGTTCAAATTCCGCTTAGTTTAATGCGGCAACCGCAGCCACAGGAGCAAGAACAAGAAGCCGATTAATTAATCAGGCCGTCGCATTCGTGCTGCCCCTGCATCGACGCAAGCCGTGCGGCTTTGCTTGCTGGGGGCGGCATTAACGTGACGGCGTCACTAATTGCCAACATCAACGTCAAGCAATTTTGCAGATGCCTTGCAGTTAAGCAAGGAACAGCAAGAGAGATGAATAATACTTCCTCCATTTCAAAATATAGTGCGTCCATGCTTTTTAAGGTTTAATTTTGACCATAAATTTAACCAACGAGACCAACTGCGACGGGAGAAAAAATTATATAATTAAAAACTTCTTTCAAATACGAATTCACTGATATAATTTTTGCTCCCGCCGCAATCGGTCTTGATAGTTAAAGTTACGGTCAAACTTGAAACACGAGGATAAAGGAAGCACTACATTGTGGAATGAAGGGAGTAATAATGATGATAATAATCAATTCAGAATCAGACGTTGACCCATACGGAAAGAAGATTGAAGGTTGAGCAACACCATATTTCTTAACAAGCAGTCGTCCATCCTCTCCCAGCACTCCATATTTACAGATGAAGAAAGCACAAGCTATCACAAAACCTGATTAAGAAGTAGCAATCGCTTATTACCCTAGCTAGCTAGCTTACCACCGGCGCATGCCTGGTATTACCTAGAAACATTTATCACAAAACTCAAGTCTAGTGTGGTGGTAGAAATAGTAGTAGAGCAGGGCCATAATCATATACAGTAATAATCTCTCTGTGGTGTGGTAATTTTTGGTTTCTGTCCTAGTGACGATGATGATGATGAAGAAGATGATTATAAGCGGTAAGAAAAGGCTGGTACTTTTTCAGCTGTGCTTCCATCCATCCACCTCCCTTTCTTGCCTGCCTGCTTTCTCCCTGAAAAGCTAATGGTGGAATCCACATCGAGAAGCACAACCGAAGGCAATGGCGGGCACCGAAGTGGTGGCCGCTTTCTCGCTCCATTCACTCTGCAACTGGGCGTGCGGGTCGCAGCTTTGTCAATGGCGGGCGGTGCGCGCCGCCTAGTAGTCGATGATGAGGTTGCCGAACGGCGCCCGGTGCGGGATGCCCTTGCGCCGCTTGGCCGCTGGGGGCGGCGGCGGCGGCGGCGTGGACGGCGTGAAGCTCTGCCTGCCGGCATTGCGCAGGGGAGAGGAGGAGGAGGCCGCCTCCGAGTCTGACGAGCCCTTGGCGCGGCCGGGCCTGCTGGCCCGCGTCATCGTCCTCGCCTTGTCGTTGCCGCCCCCGTCGGAGGAGCAGCCGGTGACCTTGCAGCCGAGGGAGCAGAAGCGGAAGTTGTCGAGCAGGCTGCGGCTGCAGACCTCGCAGAGGTTGGCGCTGCCGGCGCCGCCGCCGCCTGCCTTGCCGGGCTGCTTCTGCTGGGGGCGCTCGTTGAGGAAGACGACGCGCGCGCTGTTGATGACGTAGGTCTGCACGCCGGCGATGTCCATGAAGCGCTGGATGTCCGACACCCGGATGACGTCGTGGTAGGAGGAGCGGCGGATCTGGATGGTGTGGTGGCCGCGGTGCGCGTGCGCGAGGCACAGCGAGCACAGCGCCGCCGCGCCGGCGGCCGCGCCGGCGGCGCAGTCGAGGCAGAACATGTTGCACTCGCCGCTGCGGTGCGACTCGGTGTGCGTCTTGCATTGCGCGAAGAAGCGCGCGGACAGCAGCGGGCGCAGCCACTGCGGCCACTGCTCCTCCTCCCCCGCCGCCGCCGGCGCCGCCACCTGCGCCTCCGCCTCCTCTTCGTCCGGCTCGGGGGCGCCGCCTCCCTGCACACAACAACCACAAGATAAAGATTGGTCAGTTGAACAAGAAACGTCCAGCGATGGAAACATTGGCATCCTGACAATCAAGAAATCGATCTCGTCTGAACGCTGACAAGATTGCCAGAAAACAATCTAGTGCGAGTACTCTATCAATCAATCAAAGGGAAGAAACAAAAGAAAACATAAAGGCGAGGACTGGTGCCAAATCCCAACGCATCCAAATGCTGGAGCAGAGAGACGACGCGGAACCAAAAGAGGAACACCACCATTAATCAGGGGGCGGGGGAGAAGAAGGGTGGGTGGGTTAACGCACAAGATAGGGAAACCTCAAGAATCAATCAATGCTTTGACCGTCATTCCTCGCAGGATTGACGAACGAACTGATCCCGCTCCGGCAGCACCAGCAACAGCAATCCGCACGCCCGATGCAACAGTAACACAACCAGTTCCCCCTCATTCCCTCACCCCAGACAGCAGCAAGCACGGACGAAGCAAAAAGAAACGTACAAACAAGCCAAGAAACCAGTACTACTACTACTACCAATCAAGCAGGAGAGGAATGGCGATACGCCGTCGCGGTAGCAGCTAGGGGAGAGGGAAGGAGGGTGGGCTAATCAATCAATTACCATGATCCTCCTGTTCTTGAGGCGGAGCTCCTTGAAGGGCGACTCGTGGTCGATGGCCATGCCCGCGCACCGCACCGCACCGCACCAAGAACAAGAAGCAGAAGCAGAAGAAGGGGTTGCTGCTCCTTGTCCTGCTGGGGCCTCGGGGGAATCGAATAGCAGGCAGGCGGCGGTTGGTGCGCGTGGAAGGGAAGCGGAGCGGAGCGGCGGAAGAAGCGATATATGGGCGGATGGGCTGGGAGTCTAGAAGTAGACGACGGAGGGAGGGGTTTAGTAGAACGGAACGGCAGGGGAATGGGAGGGGTCTCTCGCGCGTGTCTCGTTCTTATCGTACCAAGTCAGTCAGTCGTCCACCCGGGCCGCCAGACCCAACCAAACCAAGTCGTCTCCCCCCTCCCCTGGTAGCCGCTCTTCCTAAACCCCGGATTAATCAATCGATCAGGCTTAATTAGCAGCGCCAGATGCGTTATTCGCAAAGCGGCCTTCAATTCCCCTCTCGCATTTGATTAATAATAACAGGGATTGAAAGCGAAGTGCCGGATTAATCAATTGATTGATTAATTAAGCCTCCTGCTCTGTGACCTCAGGTTATGGTCTGAGCGAAATGCAGGGGGCACCCGGCGCGGTGCACCCCGGCCCCTTGTGCGTCCGGGTTTGGGCACGTGTTCCCTGCTTGGACGGACGGACGGACGGGCATTTCACCCCGCCCCACTTGATCTGATTGAGTTGCAACACTTGCACTGTGCTTTGTGGTGGTCCTGATGCCCTAGCCCCGCATGTGTTGGTATAGTGCTGGCTCCTCCACGGCGCGTTTCTCTTTGGGTCACGCTTTGTCCGTGCTTGGCAGGTTTAGGCGGCGGCTATATATAGCTAAGCCAGTTCGAATAAATATATGTCACGGCTGGTTTTACATTTTTTTAATATCTTTTTTACGGTTTATGACGGCTAAAAGTCTCCTCATTTGTGTGTGTGCAGGGAGTAGAGTTTCGCACGTCAGACCCTTCCAATGTTCCACGGTGCGCAGATGGTAAACATGTCACGTAAACGTAAAAGAGTTTAGTTTTCTTTTTTGAGTTGTTTGGATTGCTTACCACATGTATCACGTGGTGTAAAAGAGTTTAGTTGCTAAAGGAATAAATGAAGAAGCTTAGCTACCAAAACAAACTATGCGAAGACTTTAGTTGCTTAACCCTTTAATTCGTTTAGCATCTCATCTAAGCACATGCACATGCATTAGAAGAGACCTTACTACTACATTAGTCCTAACTCCCGAGGAGAGGATGAGAGGATGACCCAACAATGGAGATGAAAGCAAAGGAATTCATTTGGTACGCATGTTAGTACTGGGTGAAAACAATGTTTTTTCTTTTTACGGGTAGGATGAAAAAAATGTTGGTCAAGAGTGTATGGGTAGCATGCTTAAGGAAGAGAGAGAGAGAGAGAGAGAGATATTAATTTCCAAACAAGGTAAATGCTTGGTGAGCAAGCATCCAAGTGGTAATCAACTAAGAATGGCATCCCAAAGTTAATTCACCTTTTGTGGGACATGACAAATTCAGAAGCGCTCCTCCGTATATAGCACGGAATGCACTTGCACTTTCCCGGTACTAATATCCTTGACTTTGGCCAGTGCTAGCACACTGTGCTTACATTTGCATTTAACTTAACCCAACACCGGTGCGGCGCAGCATTTGGCAGTTGAGCTGCCCTCACCTCACCTCATCTTTCGCTGAACGGTGTGGTTTCCTCGTGTTCGTGTAGGGTGCGTGATTAAACAAACGAGCCTGTGATAGTAGCTGCCAACTGTTGTGTAGTACGTCAATTCTTGTTCTTTGTTTGTGCCATTGGGTGTGCTGATGATTGTGCTTAGGTTGGATCGGTTGCACCATCGGTTTTGCCACCTTCCATTCTTTGGATTACTTATTGCTCGTTTCCAGCTTCTAGGCCTTGAGCTCCTGCCACCGCCAATAATGCCGCCCTACCAATTCAACCACTGCTACTAAAAACAGCACACACGAACAGCTTTATCCAAACAAAAAAGAAATGGGGGGGCAGCTTGGTTTGTTCGTTGAAGCTGATGAATTTGCGTGGGATCAGATCAAATGGACGCTCCGTTTGCTGTTCCCAACATGCATCGGAGGGAGGAGAGGAGCAAGTATAAAACTTGAAAGGGGCAGAAAGTGTGGGTTTTTGAAAAGATTCTGCCGCCACTCAATCATGATACTATTATCCACCAAAGCCGCTTTGCGCCTTCTTTATTCACATGCCGCTGCATCGATTCTTTCTCTCTCTGTTTTTTTTTCTTAATTGATTAACAAAAGCTAGCGGGGAGCAGGGAGGAGGCAGTGGAGCCGTTAATCTTAATGACACACTTCGTCAGGTACTTATTATTGTATACACATCTAGCGAGCCCCCGGATTGCAGGGCCAGCCACATGCCCTGCCTGCCTCCCCAAAAACCCTCCCTCCCTGTGTGCGTGTGTGCAGCCAAATCAAGCGTGCCCCTTCTTCGCTTGTGTTAACCCTGTGATGTCGCTGGCTACATACATCTCCTAATCAGCAAACTGCAAAAATAGATGGTGCTAATCTTAATGCCACTGGGACAACACCATGTTATGCTGCTTTATGTATGTGTTTTGATCGATTTCGTTGTGCGGCAAAAGTTTCTCCGTGGATTGGATGGATCGCTCGGATTTCAGCCGAAAACGACCCGAGGAAATGCGCGAGACTTTTCTCGAAGGGAAAGGAAGCGGAGGTGAATGGGCGGCGGGCACGCACGCGCTTGACAAGTCGCTGCCGCCGCCCATCCGTCCACGGGCGGCGAGTCGACCAGCACCAGCGGGAAGGCGCGGCTGACGACATTGCCGTCGCCGTTGCCGACCGTGGGCCGTGACGTGCGTCGCCACGAGATAAATTGACCCGTCCATGGACGCCCGTACGTGCAGGCTCGTGCCGTTTCCGTCTCCGGTTCGCGTCGGCGTGGACCGACCTCTGAGACGAGATGAGATGTCATCGCTGCTCCCTGCCGTGCCAGCAACCGAGTGAATGAATGCGTTCTAGCCTCAGTGACAAGTATGACTCGTGCGACACGGTGAAGTAGTTTCCGCGAAAATCGTCGTCGCCGTAAATTCGTGGGAAGTCTGAGGGTGCGTGCAGACCGGGCAGGGCCAGGCGGCAGCAGAAATGCAGTTGATCATCATGATGCGTGTGGCGACTTGGATCGTCTCCGGACGGACCGACATGCCGCGGACTGATCTCTGTCCCTCCGTTCCCCACACGGGCAATCGCTGGTTAGTGTGATGATGATGAGTCGGAGCACTTTCGAAAGATTGGGGAGGAGGTTACGGAGTTTTGTTGGTTGTCCGGCAGGGTCCTCCAGCCTCCCTCGCGTGGTTGGTTGGGCACGTACGCTGCGCTAGTAGCAACTGGAATCTGTGATGTGATGGCAACGGGAGACAATTCTGCCAGGGAAATATCGACGCAAAAGCTTTGAAGGCGACGGCCTCGACACGCTCGAGGGCGCTCGCTGGCTGCTGATCCCCTTGCCGTGTGATTCTGGGTCATCTCTTATCTTATTATTCAATTGCAAAATCAACTTGTTTAATAACCGCTCCCTCCTTATTACTTCATCCGTTTCTAAATGCACATCCTTTTAGAGATGACAATATATATAAACTACATAAAAAGCAAGATGAATGAATCAACACTCTAAAATATGTTTATATACATCGGAATATCCGTATGTAATTCATATTGAAATCTCTTCTAAAAGCAAAGGGGAAAAGTCAAAGCCATTGTCGACAGTGACGAAAACTCAAAAAAAAAAAAAACCATTGTCAACGGTGACACCGACTGCGTCAACTCGATAGGATCGAAGTGAAGCAATAAGGCAACAGAAAGATTGGCACGCTGTCTCGGTGAAACCGATTTTTAAAACTCGATGAGGCCGAAATTATTGCAACAAGTTACAGAAGGTTTGCCAAGTCATCTCGGTGGGACCGGTCGCAAAACTCGGTGAGACTGAAATAATTGCAACTGTTTACAGAAGGTTGGGCAGGCAAGATCGGCGGGACTGAGAACCATATCGGTGGATCCGATTTGTTAGGGTTTGGCAGTGGCAGTGTCCAGATGAACTCGGTGGGTCCGGATGAGGAAATTTCGGTGGAGCCGAGTTGAAACGTAGGGGTTTTGACATATTTGGATATAGAAAGTAGTTGAGGGTTGTTTTGGAGCAATATCACTAAGCACTTGAGCAAATAGATCATAATCAAAACCTCACCCCCTTTTAGTAGTATTGACTTTTCTATTGGACTCAATGTGATCTTGGATCACTTAACCAAAAATATAGAGTCTTGAGCTTTTGCCAATCCATGTCCTTAGCATTTTGAGGGGTCCACAATCACTAGTCCTTGTCATGCCAATCATTGAACATCCTGAAATTTTTAACTTG